TGCACGGCATCAGGAGCAATTCGGAGTTTTCTTCCCTCCCACTCTCTCTCATTGCTCATTATAGAAATATGGGAGTGGAGTTGTGGAATCTATAGCTATACCTATGCACACTTCGACACACCTTTGCAAACATCCTTTGTGAAGGACAGGGTGGGCCCCAGTGTACCCATTTAACCATTAAACAGGGTATTCATTTATGATTTATTCATTCATGACTGTAATTTGTTACTTAAAACAACCAAATAATAGTGACACCCATGGGGATGAAAAGAAGAACCACAGACCTTTTATCACAGTTTATTCATATTTCACATGCTGAAAAGAATATACACTAAATGAGTTTGCAACTGAGACTGACACAATCACATCAATGCTGTAACAAAATAAGAGAATTAATAAGGATCAGATTAAAATCATGGAGGAAGAAAAAAGGAAAGAGGAGAAATAATTTTAGAGATTACATTTCCATGATGTTAAAACCAATTTGTGTATCATCATGACAAATAAAAGTTAACCTCATTTGGACAAACAAGAGTGTTGGGTCACCACCAACATTGAAATAAAACATACAAGTTGTACTGGGGATGCTTTAGTACATACAATTATCCTACTCATGTCCAGCCTTTGAGTTAAAGCGGACTTCAAAGATTGGCAATGGCTGAAATATGAGGCATTTCTGCAACCTATGTTCTGCTGACGAAGAAGACCAGTCTAAAACAATAAAAAGTATCTACAATGTAAGCAACAAGGTTGAAACATGTCATGAAAGAGATAACCACTAATTTATTCCATGGACAAATAGCCCCGAGCTGACCCCCGTCCGCACACCAGCTTGGCCTTGGGTTGTTCTTGAAGCTGTACAATGGCCAGATGACCACAGCTGTGATGTACATCAACACTGCTAACACGTTGCAGGCTATCAGGATTTTATCAAATGGTGCGGGGAAGAGGGACAGAAGGCGGCAGATGGTAAAAATTATGACAACGAGGGCAAAAATAAAGCAAATGGAGTAGACAGCGACACACCACTGGAGCCCCGCAAACCTAGTGTACTGAGTGGGCTCCAAGCAGATGAAGATGATGCAGGCCACAAAGGCCTCCAGAACCTTGAGGAGGCCTGAGACTGTGGACAGAAATCCACTAAGCTCACCGGGTTTAGCCCGGGTTAGCCCAACCTCTATGGCGTACAGGATGAAGGCCAGACAGGAAGTAACAGTAGCACCAATTTGTCTGCCGCAGTTAGAGCAAGTGAAGAAGATGGGATAGATGATGGACGCTGCCAGTATCTGTATGTGAGAAAGGTCAAATTTAAGTGTGAAATTATGCTTTCTTTGAAATATTTTTGTTTGTTTTTTCTTGTGCAGTACTCACAGTTGAACCAAGGGTGGCTTATGATGAGAACATTTGAGAACCATATTGTACTAATCTTTTAGCACCAAATAGTATTTACAGAAGTCTAATTTCAAAGTCAGTCAAACAAGTGAAATCAGTAACTGTTTTGGGGAGTTACAGCTGTGGCTTCATGAAAGTCCCCCATAATTAAAGCCCCCAATACGGACTGTTTAAGTTTATTCATCAAATTGTAAAGGTGCTAAAAGCAACATGAAACTAATGAAACCTATTACAATTTCAATAATATAGACATGCCTGTGTTTTTGTTTACAACTACATCATTGAATTTTGTGGTAATGTGGATTCGGATACCTTTGGTACCCCTCTGTTTAGGTTTGTAAATTCAATTGAGACTAAAATGACATTGTCTAATGTGGTCTCTCAAAAATCTTTACTATTTATCAAAGCTCAAATACTCATAAATGCATTTATAATATAGAATTTAATATTCCCAATGATAGTAATAATCAGAAACAGTAGCTAATCACAAATGTACCTGTGACAAGTTTATTCTGGAAATATCTGTGGGCAAAGACAAATAACAACAAAATAAAAATAGTACCCACCATTAGGGTAGCCAACATGGCAAAAGCGGTGGTGAAGTCATCCCAGGAGATGGGCAACTTAGAGCTGAGGCTGGTGAATTCCAGGAGGAGTATGAGGAAGGTGATGCAGAAGCAGAAGCACCATGTGAACATGCACCACGTCCAGAAGGAGTCAGTACTGTGGCCGACTGATGCCACCAGGCTGAAGGAGATGCAAGTTAAGATCACCTCCAGTATCCGCGCAATGCCCACCGGCACCGTCAGTGTCCTGAAGTCCAGTGTTACCATGATGACTGTAATCCTGCAGTCGGTTCACTGTGGGTCTAGACAGATATTGATAGATATTTAATTTGACAATCTCTTTTTTTTTGTATTTTCTTTCAATAGCTCTTTGGCTTTTGGCAGTCCTAGCCCCTCATGCCGTTAGTACTGCCTGAATGTCTATGACACAGAGAGTCAGGTGAATGTGGACCTTCTGGCCGCTCCCTTGCTTCTGCCCTATCAGACCTTCTCCTTCGAATGGCCAGTAGCCAAATATTCAATGCGCAAGGGTGTGACGAGGGTGGTTGTGTAGGGGGGTTACCTGACTGTTCTTCACTTCTATTTGCTTATCAGTTGTGTTGCATGGGGCTTGTTACAGCCGTTATCACAAACTGCACCTTATGACACAGGAGTCAGGCCTCTTACTTCACTCACTATTGCTCATCTATTATGTTTGCTAACTTAATGGCATACCTGCTCATCAATAGTTCAAATCTGTAAATGTGTTACCAGTGGCTTAAAGGAATTGAACTTTATAGTATGGTAGCAGATATTTGTCTTTCACTGGAGAATGTAGGTGTGAGACACAAGAAAAGAGAAGTTTTAGGTTTGTTTTAACATTAAGACCTTTAAGACATGGACTAATCTACTGAGGGCTACAAATTACTGTTCCAAATTAAAACCAGTCTATTGCCAACTGTTCTGAAAGTCAACAAAAAAATTTCACTTGTCTAACTTTGAATGAGCTATTTAACTTCTAAATGTGAAATGAATGCATGAAGTGAATTCTGGATTAGGTTCTAATCTCAGACAGAGTGTGGGTATATAATGTTAACATATAGATTAAACGTCCTACAAGACCAATTTAATTGCTGACAAAGATATTGAAAGACTACTATGAGTATTCTATGCTTTTGTGCCAAACGTGACTGGACTATGGCTGTTTAATTTTTTCTCTATTATGTACAGACTTTTGCCAGATGAAAATATAAATAATATGTTCAAAATGGGAGAGGGCAGGGTAAACCAACAGGGTAGCCCTCCCCGTTCCCCCTACCCTACAAACACTGAGCACACTTGAATTTCCCTTCTCTATCTATCTATCTATCTA